ACATACCGAATGTGGCTACTGCAGTTGTTAACCTATCAAGTGCGCTTTGCGCGTCCCCCATACATTCGAACAGACAGACGATGCCATCGGCATACTCTAAATTACACAGCTTTTATCCAGCTGCCCATTCAATGCCTATCCTTTGGAGCCCACTTAGTTCGTTCTCCAATATTTCGTCTACGACGAAATGGAACACGAACGGCTAAATAGGCCACCCTTGACGGACGCCGCTGCTGATTACGAACGGCCTACTTAGATTTTTGTAAACCTTTACACGTCTGGAGGTATGTGAGTACAGTCACCTCAGTAGGTTAACGTATTTCTGTTGCATTCCTTTTCGAAGGGAGCCCATCAGAGTTTCGCGGTCAATTGGGTCGAAGGCTTCTTTCAGGTCAAGGAACACTGCGATCGTTGGCCAACGGTGGGTATGACGCAGCTCAAGGATCTGGCGCAACGTTTTATGCGCTCAAGTAGTGCGTCAGGACGTTAGCAATGTGTAGGATCCAACGGGACTGTGATCTCTGACAAACTAATATGGTAAAACCAATATAGACCACAGATAACTTGGGCTCAAAGGATGAAGGCAGTACCGACAGTGCTAGGACGCTCTAGGCTCCCAAGTTAGGGCCACCAGGACAGCGCACATCTATGGCTTGAAACGACTTTATGGCTGGTAACCGGTGTCAGTGGAGCACCTGCTGCGAGACTCTTATTCGTTATATTTAACCTCTTTTCACATCCCTTTCTTCATACGTTGTGGCACATTTGCCATTGGTTGCGTGTTGAATAAACAATATATAAAGATTCGATGTCCACTAAAAGGCTAATGCTTTATCTTTGGTTCCGGGAACTTTTTGTTTTTCATTGCTTGGTTAACTAAATGTAATTTGTCAGATTGCTTCCCTATCAGGCGTTTATCTTGGATTGACGTTATTTGTATGTTGCTTGTTATTGTACTACATATCCTATCCCTTTTGCATTACCGTGGCGCTTAACCACAACGGGGTTAGTTGGCAACTTTCTTCCAGCTGACACATGCATCCATTCTTATTCCACTTTCTTTCTGGAAACCGATCTTAACTGCTACCACCGCTGCCTTTTCAGAAGCGTTCCTGAACAGTCTTTCGGTGATCGCTGAAACGGATTTGGAAGAATGTGCGAAAATTGCATGGCCAGACAGCATTTCACACTGTTCAGCATTTACCAAGCTCTTCGAGGATCAAAGGTAAATTTTATTTTATTTTTCCGTCAACTATGGTTTTGTAATTATTTTCGATGCGTTTTCCCTGACCATTTTCGTTACTTTGTTAATGCGACTGCCAATGAGATCCAACCCCGTCGGAGCAGCTGTTCGATGCTTCCTAGCTTTTCCGTGTACGTTTCATTTACATCGTGCACGACTAAATTCATAATACGACTATTCTCAAGGATTTGGTCCAATTGCGTTCCAACAGTCTTGTGTGCTCAGACCACTCTTGCAGTGGACCGTAATGTGTACACACGAAGTGACATGGCGGAGTGCGGAGTTGTGGATGTGGCAGATCTCTCAACACATGTTCAAATCAAGATTAATGTGTGCTAATCTGCTATATATATATATATATAGCGACTTTTTATCCCTTCGTTGTTTTCGGGCCAAAAGAAATGAAGACGGCTTGTATTTCGTATTGTATTTCACACACGTCAGGCTAGACTATGTGCCAAACAAATTACGGTACAATCAGCATGGTTTGTTTGTGAGAGGATTACGACGTGTGAAAAAACATCATTTAGAAATTCGGCTCAACCCCGGTGTGAGCTGGTTGACGCAGTGGTAACACGCATGCCTTCCATGCGATGAGTTCAGAGTTCAAATCCCGTACGGGACGGTAGATATGCAATACTTGTGAGCTCTGATGAAACCGAAACTGTAGTCTGTTGCTTCCTGAGTGTGTGGCTAACTGGATAAACTGAGGATTGTGCGTGAAATTGAAGTCTGAAGGACGGTCAGTCCAGTTCCATTTACAGAATAGTCGACTTTTTATAGTTTCAGTTTTATCAATAACGAGATGGGGGCTGCTTGAGATCCAGTCCTGGTTCCAGCGATTAAGTCCACAGAGTACTCGGAGACATCAATCTTTAACGTTCAATTTTATACTACTAAGCCATCTTTTTAATATCCGCCACAGTGGAAATGCAGACCTCGGACATGGCGAGGTTAAAAGGCGTTGTTTCACGAGTTTCTTAGCTGAACGTTGTACACTCTGGCTGAATTATAACGATCGTCTTCATCGCAGAAGGCACTGTTGCAATCGCTCACTGTCACAGCAACGTCGTCCTAGGTATTCGTTACTTAACTTACCAAGTCATTTATTTTCAACGGCCACGCAACTTTGTCTTCATGACATTTGTAACAGGTAGTGACCAATTTAAACTACCATTTTCAACGCAGTTTTGTGTCTAATAAAATTTAAACTGTCAATCCGAGCCTTTCTTCCAATCGCTGTCCACCTAAATGCACATAGCGTCCTGAGATAAAAGATTCAACCTGAACCATTAAATGTGTTGTTTGGCTGGTTAACGGAGCACTAACACGAGCTTATGCATCATAACGCAACTAACAAATCTATTTACTATTTATGAATTTAGACAACTATTTGTTCCTGTTTTTATCTAACCTTGCAGGTGAATGTTAAGAAGAAAAAACAGTGTTTGAGTAGTGATCATTCACTTGGCACTCGGATCGATGATTGGTCCGTTTCGTTTTTCCATCCGTGTACACATTTTGCTCTTGTCATTCTCATTTGAACTTCCTTCGGTTGTTGGTTTCACTTTGTTCCTTAGGCCCAATTTCACGCACACGGCTTTATTGATACATTTTTTGGCTGGTAACTCATTAGAGTTAGTTAAAATAACATCCACCTGATTTGAACAGGGCGATAGAGAAAGAGCAAGCCAAGCGTTCCTGGCCTGCTCCAGTCACGTGTACTCACATACCAATCTAACTATCTGCAAAAACACAGACTTAGGGGTTTTGTCGAACATTTTTATTGCCGGTAATATTTATTCACTTCGTAATTTTGCGCTTGCGGCTCCTGTATTTCATCGGTGTCAAAGTGTAACGTGCAAGAATAGTTATTTCTTTGTGAACCGATATCATTACTCAATGGGCTCGATTTGAGGAATAAGTATTTGGTATTTTTGCTTGTTGGTCGTTGTATAAAAATTAAGTTTAGACGTTTGATTATTGTGGTTATTTAACTCTCCTTAACTTGTCGTGATCAGTGATTTGACGAAATATTTTATCAAGACTTGTGAAGGTAATGTCTTTGTTTCCATGGAGTCCGTTTGGTGGTGGTAGTTGTCTTCGAGCAATAGAATTTATCGGCGGAATTATCTACAAACCGTTTCCTCCCCGCTTCGTGCTGTTCGATGGGTGTTTTATCCTTTTCGGCGATTGACAGCTTTACCGTCGTCCGGCTCGATGGCACCACGCCCGGTTCAATACCGCGCCTGATCTATCGGAGCCTTATGTGGTTCGCCACTCCAAGTCCCGGGGATTAGGTTGTCGGTTACCATCACTGAAAAGCAGGTCATCGTGACTATGGGGTTCCACCCGTCTACTGTCCATCACGCCGGTGTGTAATAAAAGAATGCCTATCCTGTCACGGATCTCTGCGCTCCAAGTCCCAGGTTTTAGGTTGTTGATTCCCCAAATCACGCTCTTTTACTGTTAGTCACATTCAGTCAGTTCATAAAACGAGTTTTAAAAGTTGCCATTTATTTATTTGTACGTCGAATAATAAAGGCAATATAATGCCCTCAGTGTTTGCCATCATTTCCGCAGAGGCTGTGTTTTAGCTCTACGTCATATACAATGTTATTTGGGCGTTTTTTCAACGTTTAGATGATCATTGTGTTTTTGATTTTCTGGAATTCAGTAGGTCTTCAATCTACTCGCTTCGTTCGTATACTGTCATTTGAGAGCACACACGATCGAAGGTGAACAGTTGTTTTAAATTGTCTTCATTCGCAATCCTGTGCAGATCACACAAGGAATTATTTGTTTTTACAGCTTGTTTGGGTGACCCAATCACCAAACGTCATTTGCAGGATCCCTTGGAGACTGGCCGGTTATTCGTTTTACCAAAGCTATCATATACTAAGGAACTGTTTATAGCAGAAAAAACTGAAGCAAATGGGACAAAACACGACATATGAGCTATCATATTGATTTCTCATGAGCGACCCCAAACTGATGATCAGTAGTCCTTGTGATTTGTTCGTTTATTCTTTTTTAGCGCAACGTGGGACCCACGTTTCCGCTGCGCCGAGATGTCTTGAGAATCCGAGGGATACTTGATTTGTTTATACTAATACTGACGACCGTTTCAGCATGCGATTGTAACGGGCTGTCCAAGTACGTGCGATTACCAGTTTCCCCTAGACTGTTGCTATTTCTCAACCAATATCTGCGAGAGGTATTTAATTTGGGTTTATGGTTTTCTTCTTCCAATATAATCAATACGAGATGAACAAACAGTTGAAGGGTTAAACCCCGGAGCCACGAATACGTAAATCAAGTGGCCCGCGAGAATTAGCGTGATATTGAGCCGGACAATAGACAAATCCGCTTTTACTCATGTTCTGTGCTTCTTTAGGGAATACCGTCTCGATTTTTTATTAACTTTTTATCATTTCATTGGCTAGATTCCTTAAATATACCGAAATACCGAAGCACGGAATTACTAGCTGGACTGATGATTGCGTCAGCTCAAAACTAAGAGACAAAGTGCCCACAGTTGCGCGTTTTTTTGCGTGCTTGATAAATAACCTGGTTTCATCTAATTACTGCCGTAAAAATATGTGTACTTGTTTTATACTGTATCAGGTAAAAATAAGCACCGGAACACTTCCTAATCAACTGCGTTCCACCAACAGCTTTACTCTTCCGATCCCCTAAACAGGTTTTATCTGGTTTAAGTGATCCTATCGATTTGTGTTCTTTTCCCGTTCGCGTCATGTCTGTGCTCAGCATTCGTGCCATCTGGGACATGTTCATCGCATTGACCGAGGCCGAGCAAACGCGATTGCTTGGCTCGTTCTACGCCCGTTCCCAAATGAAAAATGCGCACCCGGAGCTGAGTGACCTGAACGGAGATTACTCAGATGGGGACACAGGGCTCAGTTCGGACGAATGTGTCAAACGTCGTGGGCCTCCCAAATCACGTCGTGGAGCGGCTCAGCGTAAGACCGAACTGCGTTCCGGACCTAAGGGCGATGCATGTATCGACACGGGGAGCTTCGCTGTCGTTGCGTCAACACTCAACGCGTCGCTAGACACCGAATTAACCGGTTCGTTCCATGGCTCCTTTGTTTTCAGTGATATAGATGATTTCCGTCTGCGTTTTGTACTGCATACATGAACAAGCCAGTGTAGTTGTGTGCAGTCAATGTACAATCTCATCACTGGGGCATTGAAAATATTGTGATATCTGTTGAAGTGATACGTGAGGCTGACGTCGCAAGGAAGTTCAAATGAAAATTTCACGAATGTTTGTCGATGATGTAGCGTCGTTCTGTGCAAGTTTCAGTTTTTACAACCATTAACGATACACTTGCGTGCGCCGGTTTTGGTTGCTGTCTTTTGGTTGCCCATTTGCAT